CTCACCTGTCCCTCACCTGTGCCTCACCTGTCCCTCACCTGTCCCCCCCAGATCCTCTACAACCGCACCATGGTCCAGCTGGGGGTGGGTGGGGCTGCTCAAAACTCACCTGTCCAGGTGCCCTGACCTCACCTGTCCCCCCCCTGCCCCCCCCCCCAGATCCTCTACAACCGCACCATGGTCCAGCTGGGCATCTGCGCCTTCCGCCAGGGGCTGATCAAGGACGCCCACAACGCCCTGCTGGACATCCAGTCGTCCGGCCGGGCCAAGGAGCTGCTGGGCCAGGGCCTCCTGCTCCGGAGCCTCCAGGAGCGCAACGCGGAGCAGGAGAAGGTGGAGAAGCGGCGCCAGGTGCCCTTCCACATGCACGTCAACCTGGAGCTCCTCGAGTGCGTCTACCTGGTGGCGGCCATGCTGCTGGAGATCCCCTACATGGCCGCCCACGAGTTCGACGCCCGGCGCCGGATGATCAGCAAGCAGTTCCACCACCAGCTCAGGGTGGGGGAGAGGCAGCCCCTGCTCGGTGGGTTGGGTTTGGGGGTGGGAAGTTGGGTTTTGGGGTGGGAAGTTGGGGTGGGAAATGGGGTTTTGGGGTTGGCGGGTTGGTGGGGTTTTGGAGGTCGCGGGTCGGTGGTTCTTCTTCTTCTTCTTCTTCTTCTTCTCATCCGTGGTTTCGGTTCCTCGGCCCCGTAACGGGGTGCTTCGGCCCCGTGAGTTGGTGCTTCGGCCCCATAAGTGGTTCCTCACCCCATAACTTGGTTTTTCAGTCCCATAAGTGGTTCCTCACCCCATAACTTGGTCCATGAGCTCCATAACTTGGTTTCTCACCCCAAAACTTGGTTCCTCAACCCGTAACTTGATCCTTCACCCCCTAACTTGGTTTCTCACCCCATAACTTGCTCCTTCACTCCATAACTGGTTCCTCACCCCATAACTTCGTCCCTCAGCCCCATAACTTGGTTCCTCACCCCATAACTTGGTCCATGAGCTCCATAACTTGGTCTTTCAGCCTCATAAGTGGTTCCTCACCCCATAACTTGGTCCTTCAGCCCCATAAGTGGTTCTTCAACCCATAATTTGGTTCCTCACCCCATAACTTGGTCTTTCAGTCACATAAGTGGTTTTTCAGCCCCATAATTTGGTTCCTCACCCCATAACTTGGTTTTTCAGTTCCATAAGTGGTTCCTCACCCCATAACTTGCTCTATTGGTTCCGTAACTGGTTCTTCACCCCATAACTTGGTCCTTCAGCCCCATAAGTGGTTCCTCACCCCATAACTTGGTTTTTCAGTTCCGTAACTGGTTCCTCACCCCATAACTTGGTTCATGAGCTCCATAACTTGGTTCTTCACCCCATAAGTGGTTCCTCACCCCATGACTTGGTTCCTCACCCCATAAGTTGCTCCATCAGTTCTGTAACTTGGTTCCTCACCCCATAACTGGTTCATCACCCCATAACTTGGTGCTTCAGTCCCATAAGTGGTTCTTCTTCACCCCATAACTTGGTTCCTCACCCCATAACTTGGTTCCTCACCCCATAACTTCGTCTTTCAGCCCCATAAGTGGTTCCTCACCCCATAACTTGCTCTATCAGTTCTGTAACTGGTTCCTCACCCCATAACTTGGTCCTTCAGCCCCATAATTGGTTCTTCACCCCATAACTTGGTCTTTCAGCCCCATAAATGGTTCTTCAGCCCCATAAGTGGTTCTTCAACCCCATATCTTGGTCCTTCAGCCCCATAACTTGGTACTTCTGCCCCATAAGTGGTTCCTCACCCCATAACTTGCTCTATCAGTTCCGTAACTGGTTCCTCACCCCATAACTTGGTCCTTCAGCCCCATAAGTGGTTCTTCACCCCATAACTTGGTTCCTCACCCCATAACCCGGTTGCTCACCCCATAACTCGGTTCCTCACCCCACAACCGGGTTCTCCAGCCCCCTAACTGGTTCCTCACCCCCTAACTCGGTTCCTCACCCCATAACTTGGTCCATGAGCTCCATAACTTGGTGCTTCAGCCCCATAACTGGTTCTTCACCCCATAACTTGGTTCTTCTCATCCATAACTGGTTCCTCACCCCATAACTTGATCCTTCAGCCCCATAACCGGGTTTCTCACCCCATAACTGGTTCCTCACCCCCTAACTCGGTTCCTCACCCCACAACCGGGTTCTCCAGCCCCCTAACTGGTTCCTCACCCCCTAACTCGGTTCCTCACNCGGTTCCTCACCCCACAACCGGGTTCTCCAGCCCCCTAACTGGTTCCTCACCCCCTAACTCGGTTCCTCACCCCCTAACTCGGTTCCTCACCCCATAACTTGGTTCCTCACCCCATAACTTGGTCCATGAGCTCCATAACTTGGTGCTTCAGCCCCATAAGTGGTTCTTCACCCCATAACTTGGTGCTTCAGCCCCATAAGTGGTTCCTCACCCCATAACTTGGTTCTTTAACCCCATGACTTGATTTCTCTGCCCCATAACTGGTTGCTCACCCCATAACTCGGTTCCTCACCCCATAACTTGGTCCTTCAGTCCCATAAGTGGTTTCTCGCCCCATAACTTGGTTCCTCACCCCATAACTTGGTTCTTTAACCCCATGACTTGATTTCTCTGCCCCATAACTCGTTCCTCACCCCGTAACATGGTTCCTCACCCCATAACCAGGTTCCCTAGCCCCGTAACTTGGTTTCTCACCCCATAACTTGGTCTTTCAGCCCCATAAGTGGTTTCTCACCCCATAACTTGGTTCCTCACCCCATAACTTGGTTCCTCATCCCACAACCGGGTTCTTCTCATCCGTAACTGGTTCCTCACCCCATAACTTGGTCCATGAGCTCCGTAACTTGGTTTCTCACCCCAAAACTTGGTTCCTCACCCCATAACTTGCTCCATCAGTTCCGTAACTGGTTCCTCACCCCCTAACTCAGTTCCTCACCCCATAACTTGGTTCCTCACCCCATAACTTGGTCTTTCAGCCCCATAATTGGTTCGTCACCCCATAACTTGGTCCTTCAGCCCCGTAAATGGTTCTTCAGCCCCATAAGTGGTTCCTCACCCCATATCTTGGTTCCTCACCCCATAACTTGGTCTTTCAGCCCCGTAAATGGTTCTTCAACCCCAAAAGTGGTTCTTCACCCCATAACTTGGTTCCTCACCCCATAACTTGGTGCTTCAGCCCCATAAGTGGTTCCTCACCCCATGACTTGGTTCCTCACCCCATAAGTTGGTCTTTCAGCCCCGTAACTGGTTCCTCACCCCATAACTTGCTCCATCAGTTCCGTAACTGGTTCTTCACCCCATAACTTGGTTCCTCACCCCATAACTTGGTTCCTCACCCCATAACTTGCTCTATCAGTTCTGTAACTGGTTCCTCACCCCATAACTTGGTCCTTCAGCCCCATAAGTGGTTCTTCACATCCCTAACTTGGTTCTTCTCCCCATAACTTGGTCCTTCAGCCCCATAACTTGGTTCCTCACCCCGTAACCAGGTCCTTCAGCCCCCTAACTGGTTCCTCACTCCATAACTTGGTTCCTCACCCCATAACTTGGTCCTTCAGCCCCATATCTTGGTTCCTCAGCCCATGACTTGGTCCTTCAGCCCCATAAGTGGTTCCTCGCTCCATAACTTGGTCCCTCAACCCCATAACTGGTTCTTCACCCCATAACTTGGTCCATGAGCTCCGTAACTTGGTTTCTCACCCCATAACTTGGTTCTTCTCCCCATAATTTGGTCCTTCAGACCCATAACTTGGTGCTTCAGCCCGTAACTGGTTTCTCACCCCATAACTTGGTGCTTCAGCCCCATAAGTGGTTCTTCAGCCCATAACTTGGTTTTTCAGTTCCATAAGTGGTTCCTCACCCCATAACTTGGTGCTTTAGCCCCATAAGTGGTTCTTCACCCCATAATTTGGTTCCTCACCCCGTAACTCGGTTCTTCACCCCATAACTTGGTTTTTCACCCCATAACTTGGTCCATGAGGTCCATGACTTGGTTCCTCACCCCATAACTTGGTTCCTCACCCCACAACCGGGTTGTCCAGCCCCCTAACTGGTTCCTCACCCCCTAACTCGGTTCCTCACCCCATAACTTGATTCCTCACCCCCTAACTTGGTTCTTCACCCCATAACTTGGTCCTTCAGCCTCATAACTTGGTTCCTCACCCCACAACCGGGTTCTTCTCATCCATAACTGGTTCCTCACCCCATAACTTGGTTCTTCAGCCCCATAAGTGGTTCCTCACCCCATAACTTGGTTGTTCTCATCCATAACTGGTTCCTCACCCCATAACTGGTTCCTCACCCCATAACTTGGTCTTTCAGTTCCATAAGTGGTTCTTCACCCCATAACCACGTTGTTCAGCCCCATAAGTGGTTCCTCACCCCATAACTTGGTCCATGAGCTCCATAACTTGGTTTCTCACCCCAAAACTTGGTTCCTCACCCCATAACTTGGTTCCTCACCCCATAACTTGGTTCCTCACCCCATAACTTGGTCCTTCTCCTCCATAACTGGTTGTTCACCCCATAACTTGATTCTTCTCCCCATAACTTGGTTCCTCACCCCATAACTTGGTCCTTCTCCTCCATAACTGGTTGTTCACCCCATAACTTGATTCTTCTCCCCATAACTTGGTTCCTCACCCCATAACTTGGTCCATCATACCCATAACATGGTTCTTCACCCCATAACTGGTTCCTCACCCCACAACCGGGTTCTCCACCGCATAACTTGGTTCCTCACCCCATAACTTGGTCCATCATA